ATTCATGATGTTCATTATTATGAGCTGTAAAGACTATGAGAATTTCATTTTTTAAATGTCTTATGGAATGTATCACTTTCTTAGATCTTGTAGACATGCTGTGGAAACCATAACATAAAATATGAGTTACTTACAATAACTAATTTTAATCCCATCTGCTAAGTATGACAACATTAGCATTTCCACTTAATTAAAAACACCCTTAAAGCAGCAATGTTTTAATCACTCCATTTTATTTACTCTCCTCCGGTGTCACTTGTAATTGTAACTTTTTATTTTTTAATAATGAGGGATTTTTTTTCTCTGTGCATCACACAAAAAAGTGCTGTCGATAATTAGCAGTCTTCTGTTATTACTAGACTCAGGTGTCACAACTGTGTCTCATCCTCATTACAGTAAAAAATTTCACCTATCAGATTCATTATTGCTAGATAATGCGACTGAGAGCCTTAGCAGGCCCTCCAGAAAAGTAATTCAGCCAAGCAAAATTATCAGCTAATTATATTTAGAATCAAAAGCCCAACAACTATTTGCAGATAAATTGTATGAATTGAAGTGAATAGATCTGAATATTAAGATTCATAGATTTAGCAGATGATTTGTTAATTGGAATAAAGAGGTCATTTACTAGCCATTTTAACAATAGATCAATCGGAACCCTATTTATTATTTAACTAGTAGTGCTTAAGGATTGAAATGAAGAATAATTGTATTATTGTTAGGATATTATACTTTTCTGGAAAAGGACAGAAATGGGTGGAAGTTGCAAAGCTTCCGTGTCCGTCGTCGGGCTGAAGCCTGTGTCTGTGTGCTGGGGATGCTCTGCCCAGCTTGGTTTGATCTGTAGATCTTGGCATCTGAAAGGTGTCTGGTCTATAGCAAGACTCACTGCGCTGTAGTAAGGACCTGTCCGAAAGGGCGTGTAGACTTTGCTGCAGAAAGGTAGAAAATGAGTATGCAAATGAGATCATTTGCAAATGAAAGGAGTCCAAATTTTAACTTCTTATCCATCAAACTACAGAGGCATTAAATTCTGATTTTACTAATTCATGATCTTGATGGAGGTTTTTCATAGGGGGAAATTGCGTGCTCAGATGATGACTCAGATTGCATCTTGGCCTGCAGTTTTGTTTTAGGGAGCTGTTCTTTTTTTTTTTTTTCATAGAGACAATATGATTAAAAAGCAAATATTTTAACATAACTTAGTGATCTGAGCTATTACTGAAATGTCCACAGTTTCACTCTTTTTTTTTTTTCTCCTAGATTAAAGAAAACTTTAAAAATCTATTTGCTTTGACATATGACACAATATTTAAGAACTGAAATCATCAATTAAATCACACATCAGAAACATTTCCCTTTGGTAAAAAATATAGTGCTAGACGATGTACACTTTGAAATTGTTGTTAATGTTTAAAATGCAATCTGAAGTGCATATGTTATTTAAAAAAAAACATAAATTACAAATTTTAAAAGTTTATGAAAAAAAACCCATTGCTTAGCAAAAGCGTTTGCAGAGAAATGTGTATCTTTGGGGTTTGTGGATATGCATAGTTTTCTAGCATGAAGGCTGAATATGTTATTCTTTATTTTCTTTTTTTCCTGTTTAAAACTGAGTAGATCTAAAGGAAACAGAGTTCCTTCTGAGTGCCTGTAATAACGTACCAAACCCGATATGCGCACAAAGGTAGCGAAAGCCTTTTGGATTGTCACTGAAAATAGAAAAGATGAACGTTGACAAGATTTCAAATATTTTTTTTCTGGGGACTGAGGGAAACTGAGTTAAAAATAAAGTCCTCGTATGGTCAACATGTTGGAGGAAATTCAAAGACTCTCATAAAATAAACATATTTTAAGAAGTGTTTTGAATTTCACTGTGTAATTTCTGGCCAACAGAAATTACAGTTGTATCTTTGGAGGGACATTATGTCAGATCAATGGTCATTATGCAAAAAAAATAAACTGAAAACTTGATGCCTTAACCCATTCAGCTATTAAAATGCAAAGACAAACAGGATAGCTTTTCTTTAGATTCGCTACTAGAAAACTTTCCGCCACCGTGTCGCATTTATAAAATATTCGGGTTTGATGTTACAGGAGAGATGTAAATTGTTCCTTGAAAATACACAAGTACAAAGCATCGCACACTTTGGCAAAGGAATCTCGTCGGTAGTTATTAAAAAATACAACAGTTTATGTCCCGAAAAATAAAGGAAATTACCTGAAGCGTGAGCATAAGCTAAAATATCCCAGCCCGAAGCGTGCTGCAAGTTGCTCCTAGGCTATATTTAACTGTAACCTTCGGCGCCTTAAAGTCGAAGGAGAACGAATATCTGTTCTGCCAGGTAGTGGTGATTGTGTGCATCCGTGTCTATACATACACATATATCCAAACGTGCGCACGTATGCCCTTGTTTTTCTACAGCATTATTAAGAAAAGCTGTCCATACTTCACCATGTTGTTACATGTGTCTGTCTGCTGATTATAAAATGTGTTAAACAGTATTTAAAAAACAAAAAAATGCAGAGCTGCGCTTTGATTTATTCAGCGAACAAAACATATGCTCGCTGTTCTGTTCTATGTAATTCATATGATCAATAAAATTTTCTTTAAAAAGAGCAACTTTGGCATTTAGAAGGATTATGCTGCTGAAGAAAAAAAGGTTTCACTCCTACTATACGTAGTCAACCTCAATGCTCTTGCACCAGCATAACTCCGTGGCTCACTAACGCCTATTTTCACGTATTTAATATTTCTAATCCTCAGGGTGGAAGCTGTGCATTGCGGCTGTTACCCGCTGTGTCCCAAAGCCTTGGTGTACCCAGAGATATTTCCAGGTAGCTGCTTTGTTGCACATTCTTTTTGCTGAAACGTAATAACGTGATTCATGCTAAAATCTAAAGTTTGCGAAGAAACTTGAGCAAAAGCAATTGTTTATTTGGCAAGCCAACGTGTTAGTGTTAAGGAAAATTTTATGTGTTTTAATACATTAGACAAAGTTTATATTTGCCATCTGTTCTTTTAAGATAACACAAAAGCAAGTTTTGAAATAGCATTCTTCATTGTTAGCATACACAACCCGTAATGATAGATTTTTGTTAAAAGGTCAGTGATGCTGCAATGGTTTGCAGATTTTTTTTTGATACACAGGAAAAAAAAAAACGAGGCCTGAAAATCACACCAAATTATTTAAACAATTTAATACTTAATAGTATGCAATGCGGTACAGGGTACACACTAATGTAGCACCAGTTCTTTGAAAAATCTCATCACTAAATGTATCACATATGCATTGTGTTACATTAGAATAATGTATTTTAATCACCCAAAGGAGATGTCTAAACAGCACAACTACACAGTCTTATTTAGCATTAAACATCCTTGTGAGCTGAGGTAACCTTATAAAATCATGCTTAAATAATGTAAAACACGAGGCGGCACAGAGCAATATGCATTTTTAATTAGTAAAGTGACTAATATCGAGTGTGTGCTTTGAGGTTTTTGTTTCATTAAAAATGTATCTGTTTTTCCTGCAGCTGAATATCTGTATTCTACACCTGAACAGCTTTTTAAAAGGCTTCAGAATTTCTGCAAGAGACCAGATATTGTAAGGAAACATCTCTATAAGGTAGTTGTTCAGAATAGTTTTACATGATATAATGCCATATTGAAGTACAAAGGAAAAAAACCCTTAAAAAAACAACATTTAATTAACATACTAATGTTTAAAGGAAACATGCTAGGGAGGGATATTAGTCGTTACACTAACAAGGATTAATTAAACTAGATGCCAGTTGTATTAACGTAGGTCTTATGAAATACGTGCACTTAATGCATGCTACATGCTTTTTTTTTTTAATTTATTGTTTTCTGAAATGACTGTCCTTTACATTTGGACCCAAGAGGCTTATAAAAATGAACCTGGATTAATGCAACTCATTAGTTTAAAAGGAAAATAAAAGAAAGATCCTACAATTATACTAATGAGGATAAGCCTACCTTCCTATCCTAATTTAATCTTCAGCCTTCAAAAAACGCAGGTGACGGGTATCAGGTAAGATTTCTCTCCCTTTTGGAATTACTGGAATTATTTTCATAATTAAGATTATTTTAACTCTTTGCTTTTTAAGGTATGTTGAACATAAAAAAAGTTTATCAGAAGCAATAATTTACTGGTATTTATCATGTCCTATCCTGTGCAGTTATTTATGTAGAGAAGGTACAGTTTCAGTGGCAGACCTTCCATTCAAGTTTTGATCGAGTGTTCAGTGCTAGACCGACTTTCACATTTTTAAGAGGTGTACTTATATTGCTAGGAGTCACCCTTTTTTTTTTTTTTTAATTACGCGATTGTAGATGAAGCACTAAATTTTATATTATTCCGATGAAGAGCTACACGACGCTGCCTTTAGAAAAATAACTGCTATTTTCTGCATGCTGCTATGTAAACTTACAGCGTTTTCTGACTTTTACAGTCCTGGCTATCCCGTGGGCAGGTTGGATACACGGTACCCCCGCACGACAAAGGTGTTTTCAGGCTATAAAAAACCTGAATTCAGCTGAAAGTCCTTAAAGGCTTGACAGCGCACGGAAATACTCCTCGTGTTACCCGTGCAGGACAAACGCGGTCTTTTTAGCGTTCCCTGGCTGTCGCCGTCCAGGCACACTGCTAATGAGCAAGTCGAGTAATCTCCTTCTTAATTTGGAGGCTCATGCTGCCAGCAGACCTAACCTCATCTCTCCACCTTCCTCCCTCTGGGGACCAGAAAGTGTTGGGTCTTGCTGCGTGTCGTCTGCCTCGCTACCCCTTCCCGCACACATGTAGCAGGAGGAGCGAGGGTTTAGCCCACGCCTGACTTTTTTCGTGACCTAAAAATAGGCATTTACATAATGATACATCAAAGATGATGTTGTTTCTGCAGGAAACAGTTAAACTTCAAGAAAAAAGGAGAGAACCAAAAATGCAATTTAACACCCAATTTCAAGCTCATTATCTTTCATTGTCTATTAACTTGGCAATGGTTCAGAAGGTAGCTCATAATAGTTTAAAATGCTGACTGAACACTTCCAGTGTTCAGCATTACTTCTTGAGTCAATAGTATTGTATAGTTATACATGGTGGCTTCAAAGGGAAAACAGTCCTTAAACGTATACCTTGACATTTCCCAGTGCTTCAAGTTCAGCTAATAGCTGCGTTCGCACGGATCTTCTCTCTACGCGTGGATCCGCAGCTCCTAAACAGATCCAAGGCGCACTAGAAATGGAAATAACAGTAGAACAAATGCCGATGTAGGATAGTGTGGGTTTAAAACGTGTGCGCGGGCCCCATAAGCAAAATACTAATTTTCGTTTATTAAAAAAAATTCCCTTGGGGTGATTTGCAGGCAGAAGGTGAAGGTGTTTATCCCACCCCTCGCACACGTGCGCTCTTAACAGCGCGTCCCCGCTCAGATCTTCTGACCGATCGGACTGAGCGTCTGCAACAGGTAGCAGTTGAGCTGAATGGGGGATCGTTTTAAAATGAGTAAAGCAGAGCCTAATCCAGAACCTGTGAGCACCAGAGGAGAGATCCCTGTTGTCTTTAATAGGCTTTGGATCAGCTCGAATACTGTTAGAGTTGTCTTTTTGTACCTACACCCACGTATGCCAAGACTTCCTTTCGCAATGAAACTATCCGCAAAACCTCCTAGAAAACGCTAACTTAGATATGTGCTGTTAGTGTAATTATAGTTGGAATGATGCCGCTTTTTAGGAAGCTGAAAAGAGCGAAATCCTGAAGGGTGTGCAGCGCTTCCTCTGCATTTTCACTTTTTTTTCAGATCGGTGTAGTATTATATGTACGATAGTGGAATGGAAGAGGGACCCAGCACAGCAGCGCATACTAACTAGCTACTTTTCTTTCAGAAGCCTTCCTGACATGCTCTCTGCCTGAAGTTCATAAAGTAGCTGTAAAGTCTTGAAAGTAAAAACGCTTTAAAAGCAAATAGCGCTTTTCTCCACTAGTCGGGAATTCTGCTTCATAGATCAGGAAGTAATCATCATCAGAAGTACCTCGGCTTATCCTTTTACGTGTTGTTGGGGTTTTATTACTAAGGATATCCATAATAATTAGACAGCAGTCTAATTAAACGGGCAGTTTCTTCCTTCAGTTGTCCTCAGCGCTTGTGCTGACAAAGTTAGGGGCAAAAGGGAGATAAACGGTGGCGGGGCAGTCGGGTTAGGGAGCCAGACACAGCGGGTATCCCTGTGAAAATGCACAGCCCAAGGCATGAAACTGTAATAGCTTCGCTCGATTCATGCCGACGGACTTTTAAAATCGTCCGTAATGTACGCACCTGTGAAAGCCTTCGCAAATGAGGTATGTATTACCCTGCGTATTCTCACAGCACCCAAGGCTGGCTCGTTTGCCTTCCACCAGTTATTAACAGAAGATTGAGAGGAGTGGCAAGCGAACCTCATTTGTTATCAATTATTTGTTGTGTAACAGTTTTATGGAGTCAGATGTTGCTCTCTGGTTCTGGGTATTTGTGGTTGCCAAAGTAAGAGCCAGAATGAAGCAAGTAACAAGAAGAGGGCATCGGTTTCTGTCAGAGTACTCCACAGGACCTGTCAGTGTTTGCAAGCTCCCTATCTAGTGGATTTGAAATTAAAAAAAAAAAAAAATAGGGCAAAGCATTTGTTCTGCATTATTTTCTTGAAGTTTACCTTTCGGTTGCCTCACTTCAGTTTCTTAATTTAAAACAGCATGTATAAAGAGTATACAGTGGAAAGGGACAAGAAGAGTTGCCAAAAGCCAGGCATGGAAGGAGCTGACAACTTTAAATAATCTCTCCCAGCCCTCCCAGCTGAATGAGTGCTGGTTGACATGCTGTCAGCTTCAGTTCCTACAGAAAAATCCTACTCTCACTCATGCTTGTTTAACGGAGAAAAGAATTTGGCCCACTTTCTGACATTCATCTTCTCATTTCCATCACACTACAGAAGCTCACCTGCCTAGGAAAAGACACATGGCGTGATTTTTTTGCTTTCTTACACCACTGTAGAAGGAAGTCTGCTGAATTCAAAGGGATTAAACTGCTGTAAAATCAAATTAAGATCCCAGTTAGGCTGTAGACATCTGAATTGTTTCCAGTCTCAGGATTTGGCTGTATAGGGCAGTTCAAACAAAACTTTCTTTTTTCTTTTTTCCTTTTCTTTTTGGTCTGGTTTGAGATCAAGCAGGATCTTTGGTATTTCAGGTAAATGTGTAGATGGGAAAACGGCTCCTGGTCCAGCTGTAATATTTAGGCACAGCTAGGAAAGCAGCAGGAGGCATTCTCAGCCTAAGGATACGGGGCGCTGGACACGGGAGGATGTGGGGGAGCCTCATGCCAGATGGCCCATCCACTGCTCAGCCCCATTGCAAGGAGCAGTAGTTGTTCCTGGTTCTTGTACAGGCCACGTAAGAGCCGGGGACGATACCTCTGCCCTTATCCTTACCCACTGCCCAGCAAAACTCCACAAGAAATTATTTTTTCCATAGGGATGCTAAGTGCCACTACGGATCAGCATGCCATGTGTTTAGTGCCGTGTTTTTGATAGTGGTGAGCATCAGATATTCGAGAGGAGGCTGACACAGGTAGAAATTGGGTATTAAAGGTCTTCCCTTTCTCTTTTAGAGTTAGATATTGGTCCTAACCCTGGACTTGGAGGTTTTATCATCTTTCATAATCTTCTTCTAGTATTAAGTATTGCAAAGTTGTACATCGTAGTTCTCCCTTTGATGCTGAGGCCCTTGGAAACCCTTGTTCTTGTCTTTCACGTCTTGTCTTTCACCTCCTATAGCAAAGCGGTTCATCTTACGTCTACAGACAGCGTTAAAGGCATCTCCTCCAGTCAGCTCAGGGTTTCCCCACCTTCCGTTGCATTGCGCGTCTTGTTCTGGAGCTGGCTGCCTGGAAGCAGGAGCTCCCCATCCATCTTTTCTATACCGTTCATTTTTCTATAAACACTTGTCAGACTCTTACAGTATCCCAGTCTTCTCAGTCTCTCTTCATGAATGTTATTCTGTGTTTATATTCTTATCTCCCATCATTCAAACCATTTTGATGCTTGAGAGCTGGTTTTGTGCTGGTGTGATCATTACTTCACAGAGTATTCTAGGCCATGCCATCAGTTTATGTGATGTGTTGTCCTCTGATAGTTTTCAACCTGTTCCTTATGGAGCCAAGCGTACTGTTTACTTTTTAACAGTGAATGTATATCGAGCAGATGTTCACTTACAGTGTTCTCCAGATCTTTTGTCCTGAGCTGATAAAGTTAATTTAGAGCTCTATAGGATGTGCAAACAGTACAAGTATTTCCAGCAGGGCTTGTTTGCAGAGAAAAAAAGAAGGCATTGGATTGAATTTGTGCTTCTACCTGGTTAGCATTAGGTGCAGGTCAGAAGGAGGTTGGAGGCACAAGTGGGAAACTTATATTTGCCTCTTGAGATGCTTGTTTTCCAGTGAGCATAATTTAAAATGGTTTCAGAGATGGTCTAGATCTGCTTCTCAGAGCCTGTATGGGAAGATTATAGCAGCCTGGGAAGTCTGGAGTGCTGCATGCGGTGTCCATGCTCTCTCATCTCTGTGTCAGTGCTTAGGCATGGGATCCTAAGTAAAATGTATATCACATAAGGATTTCTTATGTGTAAGAAAACTTTGGTTACTTACTTAGAACATCTAATCATAGAGAAATTTAGGAAGGGACCTCTGGAGGTTGTCTGGTCAGCCTCTGCTCAAAGCAGGGCCAGCTTCGAAGTAGGATCTAAATTCAAAGTTGGATTAAGTTGCTCAGAGTCACATCCAGGTTAGACTGAAGTCTTGAGATTTTTCATTTCCATATGTATGACTGGAAATCCAGCTAGCTTAGGAGGCTTGCACTGGTGGGAAGATCTGCTGGACTGTGGGACACAATTTAAGCATTCTGGGTCAACCTGAGGTCTTCGAGCAGCACGGGGGTCTGGAAGCAGCTGTGGTAGAGAGAGGTCTGTTAGCTAAGGTGGATCCTCACTATGGAAGGAATGAGCTAGCAGGCAGGCTGTTGAAGTTGCCTGCTAGGTCATTCTGGGATCCAGCCATACGTATGTAGACATATATATATAAAAGTATCCATATACACATATATATGTATGTGTCCTACACCTCAACTTCTCCCAGGGCTTGCCTTGCTCTTGCCTCTCAGAGGTATATATCTAGGAGGTTTCAGCTCTCCGAAAATGTTGGTCTATAGCTCGTAGCAGTTGGCTGCACTTGTAGAGCAGGAGGAAAGCGTTCATTAAGAAAGCGGTTATGTGTGCATCTTTCAGCATAAACACCAGGACTTTGAACTTTTTATTATAACAACATTAGATAGTTTCCAATTTAGTTTTAGAAAGTAAATGAGAACTGGCAGATGAACCACAGCCACTGCGAAGTGGTAGATGGAGAAATAGGTCAAAGGAAATACGGTGGACTTTGAAAGGAAAGTTGCAAGAAGCATGAAAACTTATTTTTTTTCAGTAAAGTAGATTCAAATTACCTTGAGTAAGAAAGTTTGAAACTGTTTTCCTACTGTTGTTGTTCAGTGCGTTCTGACCCATCTCATGCAAGGTACCCACCAAAGTATCTTGCATAGATTCACATCCAACATTTGATGTTTTTTTTTGTTTAAAGACAGAAAGAATGAAATGAGTTTTAAAAGGCTGATACATGAAACTTCAGAACAGACCAGATTGTTCAGGGAAATACTGCTACTCTACTGAGGAATATTATATAGCTCTGACTCGGGCCTTACAGTGCATCCAGTCCATGTAAACCAAAGCTGTCTTGATGGTGGTTTCCAAAGGTTCTCAGAGTTGTAAAATTGAGCTCCAAAAGTAATTACTGCAAGCTGCTTTCCACCTTGATTCTTCCTGAATACCCACTTACAGATGGAAGGCGCTGGGTCAGAGTGTAAAGCTGACCCAATACAAATTGGCTCTGTAAATCACTCTGCTTCCCTTCGTGCCAAATTTCAGGTTTTGTGCTGAATAATAATCTCCAATTCTTAGTTTTATGAAGGTAATTTTAAAAAACGTGCAAAAAAAGTATGCCAAATTAGTACTGATCCTGCTTGAACTCCAGCTATCTGGAAACAACAGGTCTGAATAGGTAAGAGTCCTTATTAAATTCTAAAGGTTAACTCTGAAGTCTAATGATGGCAGAGTAGATATTAATTACTTCAGTCCTGATCTTAGGACATAAGATACAAAAAAGTTGATTTTATCATAAAGAATATTGTACTGCTACTGACATCTTATTATGCTACCTGTTCTTCATGGGGAGATCTTGCTTTATGTGAAAACTTTGCTCCTCTTGATGATTTTAGCTCTGCATATTTAGAGACTGTTGACTGAATCATATAATATTCCATGAAAAAACGAATGCCCAGTCCTTTGCAGAGCTATCACCTCAAAAAAAAAAAAAAAAAAGAGGAGTTGAATTTATTCTCTCCATGGTTACTCTAAAATAAAGCCCAGAAGCCAGACCAAGGATGGTCAAGCAGGGGAGTTACTCCCTCACTCCTGCCAGTTCCTGGTTCTGCCGTGTCTGAGGGTGAGAGGGGCAGGTCGGTCCCTGCGGGTGTTGAGTCCTTGACGTGTCTGCCGAGACCGCCAGTAAAGCAGACGGATGTTTGATGGTGCTCAACCAGGGGCAAATAGCCTGGGGCTGCCAACCAGCTTACCTGTCTTCAAAAAAAAAAGCTGAATTCACCCTCTTTCCAAATAATGCCGTGTAAGCGTTCTCTGACCAACTCACTTCCACCCCCCCTGAAACCCCGGGTGTTGCAGAGCGTTTCGGCTCAGAGCCGCGCTCCTTCTCGCGCGAGAGGCGTCCCTTTCGTGTCCCAGCATCTAACGCGGCTTCGTGCGCCTTTCCCTTCTGCTTCCTCGCAGGGCGAGACGGCTGGCTTTTCTTGGGCAGCGCTCGGCGGTAAATTCAGGTCTCTGCTCACAGCAGAACCGAGGGAAGATTTGTGACAGATGGGGCTAAGTCACAAACTTGCAGCCTCAGGCAGAATTGTGGAAGTTTCCAGAGTGTGCCCATATTTACCTGATCAGAGAGAAAAGAAAATCTGCAGAGGAAGCCGAGCCTGGCTGCTTGTCATAGCTGACACAGAGCCATCTGCCACAAACCTGTGGCGGCTTCAGATCTCCAATCCCTGCCACCACCCCAGCTCAAATTAAATACAGATTCTTCGAGACGTTATGATGGTTACACATGTCCTCGGCATCACATGCAGGAGACTGTTCAAAAAAAATATGTGGCCTGTTGTATAACCGCACTCATGTATCCCATATGTGGTGCCACATTGAATTTCCGGTTGAATCTGTTTTTATCCTTTGTACTGGATGACATGGTGCCTGAATTCTTTCTTTTCGCCGACACGATGGCAGCCAAGCTGCAGCTTCAAATGCTCACACTTGGCTGAGTTTCTACCTAGGTTGCCAGGTTATCATTGGAGCCTTATTGTGTCCTCAAAGGGCCACAGGGCCTGAAAGGAGGATCCGAACGCTGCCGGACTAATTGGGCAGCCATCTCCGGGTTGTTTGGAGGCAAAGGGCTGCTTTAGCACTTTTTTTTTTTTTTTTTTTTTTTTTTTTTGCAAATTAATGACTCTCTGGCACAGGGGTTTTTAAGTGAAGGTATTAATAAGGGGTCTGGCAGGTAATCCCATGATTCGCGGAGTTACATTTGCATTTAATTAATCTTAAAGAAAGCTGAAAGATAAACAGCTGTAATTCAAACTAGCATGGGAAATATGCTACATGGTGCCATCTATCCGATAAAATGAAAGCCGAGACACTTGTTTTATTTCTCTCAAGGATGGAGAACAAACGGATAACAGTCAAAATACTTCCAATAAAAACCAGTAGCTTAAATGTAACGGCAGTTCATCAAGAATCTTTGCATCCAGTTACAAATACGTCTTTTAAAGATAAATCACTTACAATTCCAGCAGTCAAGCTGCTATATTTGTTGATGTAAAATGTTTTGAAGATGTAGATTGTACAATAAATTTTTAATAAAGTGCCCACTGCAATTTTTAATTAGCATATCTCATTCATGTATAAGTGTGTACATCTATCTGTATGTTTATCACTATGCATATCCTAGTGTCAGAGTCAATGAATGCAATTGTGTCTTTATCTGATGAAGTAGAATCCGTTTTGCAAGTGATAATAAAACGTTATGACAATTCCAAGATTTTCCACTCTGCTCTGGGAAGAAGCAAGAAGAGGCCCCTCGGTAAGGCGTTACGCCGTGAAGCACGGTAAGACCTCTCTTTGCAGACAGGTATGGGTTCAGGGTAGCTGCTTTCCCCGTCCCAGGGAGCAGATCACCTTGCAGCAGACATCAGCATCTTTCCTTTGCCTGAGCACCGTCCACAGCAGGTGAAAGGCACGGGCTGGTCCTGCTCCGCACGCGTGCCTTCGTACCTTCTGACGCCATCAAGATGCTGAACCATTCTTTCTCAGTGCGAGAGAGATCATGTGGTACCTCTCTTTAAAATTACTCCATTAAGCAATCAAAAAACCCAGGGGAGATCCAATGGTAAGTGTTCGGATATTCTCCTAGCACTGCAGAGTTGTAATTTCACAGTGATCATCTGTCTCGTACACTGGTTCCTCCTCATTTCTGCTCAACCAAAGCCCAGCTTGGCTCTAGGCGTCGAATGTGGTTGAGTAGAGTGGTCTTCTCCAGACAGCATGTGTCATACTTGGTAGAGCCAAGTAACAGGACTACCTTGCACTTCTTACCGGTGTGTATCATAGATGTTCACTAGTGTTTTCACACCTTGCGCTGGCAAAAGCAATTTTTTTTGTTTTTACTATTGGGGAAACTGAGGCACAGTGGTGCAATTAAAGTGAATCGGTTCAAGTTTCACAGTGAGTCATTCTCCAAACCAATAAAAGGAAAAGAGGAGATGCTGTAATGTTGTGCTAGGGCTTGTGGTGAACAGCCTCAACGCACCCAAGCTCTGTGGTTTCGAGTTGAAGACTCCTGCCATCCTCAGTGCACACCCTGATCAGGCTGACGACCAACGGAGGTCTTGCCCAGCTCCTTGGTGAGGTGGTGCTCTGCCTTGGTTTACGTACTGGTCAGTGATACTTTAACCGTAGCCAGCTCAGCCTGGTAAGCGAGGCTTCGTCTTGGTGGAAAATTTTTCCTCTGAGTTATGAACCCTTGCAAATAAGACTTTATAATAGAAACACTGTCAGAACTTTATTTTTGGGGTAACAAATAGCAATGCTGCGTTACCTTCTGATACTTCTTGCCATTCTTAGCGAAGATACACAGCGCCGCTAAAGCAAGGATGAAAACGTCCTTACCACATCTCCTCGGACCTTCAGGTCGGCCTCATGTTGGGGGCCACCCTGGCCTGTTTCGAGGTCCTCTGTCAAGAGAGTGAGGTAGGACTTCCAGACAGTCGGAGGTGACAATTCCCCCGAGGCAGTCTTCCCCCACCAGCCCGCTGGAGACTGACCCAACCTGAAGAGTTTTGCCTCGCAGTTCCTGAAGATCAAACGAGACAGCCGCTCCGCGCTGCTTCATTTAAAGCCTTCACTTCAAAAGGTCAGAGAGACAAATTGGGATCTCGGTCCCGTTGTTCCTACACACATGAGTAAGCGGTGAATGCAGAGACCTAATCTTATAAGTAAAATGACAGAATTAGCCCTTGACTTACTTTCATATTTATTGATGTTTCACCTGCATCGACACAGCAACTGCAAGCGCTCTGATGCTGGTTTCGGTGCAGAGGTAAAGCCGAATGGGTTTTCCCGACTCCTGCCAGTCTCACCAGGCAGCGCTCCGACCAGACAGCTCCTTGCCTTCTGCATCAATAACGGGCCAGGCACCTAATCCTACAATCCTTTTGTCTTAGTATTTGAGATCACAGGAAACACAGGTTTATTCCACATGAGAATTGTCTTTTCCCGTATAATAGAAAAGAAAATCCTAAAATAACTAGGGAATTTTGTAGCAAACCATTTCCAGCATTCCTAGCCCCGCTCTGGTCGTGCTGCAGGCACCGCGAGGAGCCATGGTACAGACTGGCTTCCAGCCGTGTTTGCAGCATCGAGACCTCTGACTTAGCTCAAAGCTGTTCTGAATTAGGAGGCTAGATTTTTCTAATTGCATTTTTAAAGACCGAGCCAGCAGTTCATTAGAAATTGTGGAGCAAATTCTGCTTCTCTATTACACCAATATAAATCTTGAATGAATTTACATCAGGATAACTGGGAGAGTAGAATGTACCTCCCATATTGTTCCTCAGATTATTAAAAGTTAAAGGGCCTTGAAAATTAAATTCACCTTTCCCCATTCAAGCTGTTTACTCTTTGTTTTTTATTCCAGTAAGGACAGTTGAAATGAATTAGTCAGTCTCATTTCTGCTCATAGTCACTTTTAAGTTTGGTTCTCATGTACTAGCCCGAGACTAGTTTGTGTGGAAAAGACTGGAGGGCATTTTCTTTCAAACAAATTGTTTTCATGGGAATAATTTCCTAGAATTATATTAAAACCTTTCCATGAATCCTTGATTTAAAAAAAAAAAAAATCCTTCTTACATATCCTTGATTTGGGCGACTCTGCAAGTCTTTATTTGCAGATATAAATGAGCACCTTAATGAAAGTCCTTGAGAATTTTACCCTCTAATAGGCTAACCTTATTTAACTGCAATACTTCTTAAATGATTCAGCCTGGTAAGCAAGGCTTCGTCTTGAAGGAAAATTTTGCCTCTCAGTTACGAACCCTTGCAAATAAGACTTTATAATAGAAACACTGTCAGAACTTTAATTATAGGGTAATAAATAGCAACGCTGCGTTATCTTCCGCTATTTCTTTGCATTCTTAGCGGAGATGCACAGCTGCTGCTGGAAACTGATAATCAAGTGCTCTCTAACTGCGTTACAACTTCTCACCCGCCCGCCCTGGAAGCAGCAGCAGCACCA